GTTTTGTCAGCTAGAGTGAAAAAAAAAACCCTGTCTTTCACTCCAAAACTGCAATTTCAAATCTGGATCTCCAGATATTGGGATCCCAATACGATGGCCACAAACAGAGGCCAAAATGAGTGATCCTGGACTAGATAAATCGGTATGTTAAATATCATAGGCTGCATCGTCTTTGAGAGCAGCTTTTAAATGAATGCAGAACTTGCTAAGAAAGTAAATCAAACTGACAAATTGTATCAAGAAAGGGTATACCCAGAAAGAGTATTATATTGTTCTTTATTTTTTTTAAAAAATGTAACATTAGTTCTTCTCTGTAGATTATAAAATTTGAAACCTGGTTCAATTTCTGAAAAGTTTCATGGCTATGCAGAAATATTGCATTGATTTTATTAGGAATGAGGAACCTGTGGCCCAGGCAATGTGTGATTCATGTCCTTTTTGAAAATCTCTTTGCAAGATATCAGCTCAGAGCCAAGAACAAAGAGACTCAAATAGGACATTCTTGGATTTCAATGCCTTTCTGGATTTTATGACTCCTGCTCAGGAACCTCTATTAATTTGAGATTTATTGGGAGAGGCAGTGCTAATTAGCAAAATCTACTTTACACATGCTGAAAGGTTGAGTGAGAGTTCCAAATATTATCTTACATTTACCATACTTTTACATATTATAGTTATAATACGTATAACCGTTTCTCCAAAGAACTCAGGACAATTACAGGTAATCTTTGACTAACGCCATTCATTTGAAGTTACAATGGCACTGAAAAAGGGACTTATGACCTTTGTAGTGTCTCCATGGTCATGGGCTCAAAATTCGGGTGCTTCGCAACTGGCATGGTATTTATGACAGGGTCGTGTGATCACATTTTGTGATCTTCTGACAAACAAAATCAATGGGGAAGCCAGATTCACTTAACAATAACCTTATTAACTTAACAGCTGCAGTGATTAACTTAACAACTGTGGCATGAAAGTTCATAAAATGGAGCAAAACTCACTTAACAACTGTCTTGCTTAGCAACAGAATTTTTGGCCTCACATATGGCTGTAAGTTGAGGGTTATCTGTGTTCTCCTTTCCCTGATCATTTCATCCTCTGTTTCAACTTTTTTTCTCTTTCATTCTCCTTCCAGCTCTGTTATTCTGTTAAGTAGATAAAGCTGAAAGTTAGCAGCCCTAATACTGATTCTTCTTTGCTGACTTCTCCACTTTGTCTCACTGGAAGCTCCACACTTCCTTTCTTAAACACACAAAAACTGCTGGTTTGATGATAGGTGTTATCAACCATATCTAAAAAATAAGGTCTGATGTGGATAAAATGAGATGAATAAAATTTTCTCTGTGCATTGCTTTTCTCTTTCTCTCAAAAAAGGTTGGCATAAATGTAACAAATAAAACAATTTTGGGGGGGAAACGACAATTTTTATTAGGGAATAACATATGGAAAGAATGGAAGCTACATTATAATGAGTCAAACTATTGGCTCAACTAATTCTAAACTGTGGAGTCCTCAGTGCTTTGCTGAGCATGGTGGCTTGCTTGTAGATGTTTCATTACGCAACTAGATAATATCATTAATACTCCATAGTTCAACCCTGAATTATGTATATTCTATTGTAATTCCAGATTTCTAGCTGATCAGGACAATGGTTTTACAGGATTTTGGGGGGAAAAAACATTTTTCCAGTGTTACTTGGAGGTACAAGAAAATGTACAAATAGTCTTGACTTACAAACATTCATTTAGCGACAGTTCAAAGTTATAATAGCACTGAAAAATGTGAGTTATGATCATTTTTCACACTTACAATCTTTTTAGCATCCCCATGTCATGTGATTAAAATTCAGACACTTGTTAAGTGGCATGTATTTATGATGGTGATAGTATCCTGGGAACATATACTGTAATCACCTTCTGACAAGCAAAGTCAATGGGGAAGGCAGATTCTCTTAACAATCATGTTACTAACTTAACAACTGCAATGATTCACTTAACAACTGCAATGATTCACTTAACAACTGAGGCAAGAAAGGTTGTAAAATGGGGCAAACTGTTTTGCTTAGCAATAGAAATTTGGGACTCAATTGTGGTCGTAAGTCAAGGACTATTTTAACCTTCTATCTGCAAAACAGTATTCTACCATTGAATTATAAACATATTTTGTGTTGTTTTGGGACTGGTTCACTGAAAAGGACTTAGATTCAGGAGTTGCCATGAGATTGTACCTTAAAGAAGACTATCCAGTCTTTTGAACAATACCAATATAGAAAGTGCTAATTAGACCAAATAAGATGATCTCAAAAATTATTTTTGTTGAAATAAGTATTCATTTTTCTGAATATCTTACATTTATATAGATATGCATAAACTGATGAAATAAGGGCAATTATTCTCTCTCTCTCTCTCTCTCTCTCTCTCTCTCACACACACACACACACACACACACACACATACACAAACATATATTACAAGATTGGAGAATTTTAGAAAAGAGAACTTAATGTATATAATTTTTAATGTTCAGATTTTCATACAAGGCTTAACAGTGAGCTTTGAAAAAGGGTTTTGGGAGGACAGGGTCACATGTCAAAAAATTTTTTAAATGTAATTTGTCGATTCTATGTAAGAAATGTTGAAAATGTAGTAACTATCAAATCTGGCATGCCTATGTCCTTTCTATCTCTAAACATGAACATATGTGCACATAAATGTGCTTATACATCTCCCTCTCCCTTGTGCTCAGACCTATATACAAACATATATCTCTGTCAGGTTATTAGTGAATTTTTTGCCTTCGCACATATTTACATGCCTGCTCACATACATGTACACACCCATCAACTTGCCAAACGTAGTCACCCACACAAATCTTCTTTTCACATTCTTAGCAACTGGCTTACTGTGATCATCTGTAATCGTAAACTGCCTACATCCCGGGAATATTGCTACAAAAACAACCTCACACTCCAATTTCTACATTTAGCAGCCCAACTATAAATTTCTAGACATCTCCTAAATAAATAATAAGTAAATGTCAATGCTATCTTCTACATTTTTGCCTGTTTAAATGGACAAAAAAAATCTTGGGGAGCTTAGAAAGCTGAAAGTTGTGACTTACACAAAAAAAGGTGACCATTTACCGCATGAAGGTTTTCTTTGTAAACTTTTGTATATCTTTCCCCTTTAAAACTAACAATGATAATAAGAACACAATACAGGAGACATTTGCTTTTAAGAACAAGCAGATAAAAAGCCACAGGTGTTATGCCCGTGTGATTTGTTCTTGAAGAAGCAGGTGTACTTAGCTTTTCTTTAATTGGAAAGGTGTTTATACTTCCACATTTTCAGGTGTGTTTCATGATTCTCGTGTATTTGTTTCTTTAAGGAGAAATCACACAGGCTAATTTCAAAAATATCTTCAAGGACAGAGGGAGTAAAGAATTAGATGGTAGCATATAGGCATGTTACCGTAGAAGCTGCTCTTTGCACTGGAAAGAAATTCCAAATAGCACTGAGATCAGTTCTGCAAATGGTTACTGATTTGCTAAATGAATGTGATTATCAATCCAGTTTAAGCCTGGAGGTTTGGATTTTCTATTAGATTTCATGTCTCTATGCCTAGAAAAATGTAAATCTGTGGGGAGCCCAGCATTTGGAATAGTTTTTCACAAAGCCAAGGACTTCTCAACATTGCCTCTTTCATGCCACTGTAGTGAAACGTAGTTGTGAGACCCATCATATCCTCTTGAAAATATATAATGTCTATTTGAAAAAAACTCCAATTAAAAAAATACACTTGGTCTTAAAAGCTGAATGTGAACAATCTTCAAATCCAAACTTTTCTTACATTTTGAATTTGGAAGAGACTTCCCTAGGCTGTTTCTCACTCTATCCAGAACTATATGAAATACATAAATACTAATGAAAAATTGCTCATGTAGCTCAAATCCTTATAATCTGTCTGCCTGTTGTCTGTCTGTCATCTAAGATTTATATAAGGGATCTTCCATTTGTATTATATCAAGGTGATGCAGTGGTCACAACAACACGAAAATCAGATCCGACCGGAAACGTGTTTCCCAATACCCAATTTAAAAAGTTTATTATGATGGAAATCCTATAGAACTCAGCAAACAACTAAATTACATCCCACTGCTCTTAATAGAATGTAGTGAATGATAATTTTAACTTTTTTTTAATCTATTTGTTTTTGTTGGGGTAGAGGGTTATGAAGATTTATAAAGCGCTTCACAAATGAATAATTATTGCACAATTCAAGTGTTAAGGAGATGCAAAAGAACATACAGTATACAGAGTTTAAACAAGAAACAGCTATTTTACATGTTTTTTAAGAAATAATGCCCTATTTGTGTGTGTGTGTGTGTGTGTGTGTGTGTGTGTGTGTGTGTGTGTAATTTTAGAAACCCTAGCTGAAATAGAACAGGCAGGTCTTCTGGAAGTAGGCCACCCACAAGTAGAAAATATTTGTCAGTTCCTAAATCTGAAATGCACCTTAATGTAGCTGAACAAAATATTCTTTTCGGCACACCCACAAGCAAATTTCCCCATTTCTTTTCCCTTTTCAATATATAGTTTCCCCTGCCACCCTGCTAAAATCCTTTTCCTCAAGTAAGGAGGGGAGATGAAGAGACTCCCCTACTTCTGGCATCTGGCTCCTTCAAGGAGTTTCACGTTCTCAGGAGAAGGAGAAAGAGGTGCTTGCGGGGAGGGGGGGGGGGAGAAAAGCACACTTATTTTCTAATCCATTCTTTAAAAAAAAAACTATAGAGAGATAGAAAGAGACAGAGGGAGGGAGGAGAAGAGCATGTTTTGCCTTGAAGGCAATATTTCTGGAGCCAATCGGAATGTAGCATCCACCCTTCTTTGCTCCTTAATTAGAGGGTTTAAGCAAGCTGGCTCGGTTGGATTTCTTACACATTTTCTCTAGAGGACGGCAGTGGCAAGAGCAGCAGCAGCAGCAGCAGCAGCAGTGGCAGCAACAACTGCAACAATTCCTGGAACCATGGCTGAGTAAGACTACTCAACAGGAGGTAAAGGTGGAAAGGATTTTCTCCAGTTAGTTAATTCTTTTCTAGGTTAAGTGGTGGACCTTCCATTGGTGAGCTCTTCTCATCATGAGTGGATCCTTTGATAAGAAGATTAGCAGCATTTTAACTGACATTTCCAGCTCAATCAGCTGCCATGCAGGCACCAAAGACTCCCCTACTCTTCCTGAATCGTCTATCACGGACCTGGGATACTACAGCACCCCACATACTCAACATGAATATTACCCCACCCAGCCTTATACTCAACCTATGAATCACTATGCATACCACCCCCAATTTAACTTCAATGGGATGGGGGCAACGGGGACATACTCCCCCAAATCTGACTATCCTTACAGCACTTCATATAGACAATATGGACCTTTCCGGGATTCGCAGTTGCCCAGTCAAGAAACAGGTAAGGAAGTTTTTGAATCAAAGTCTAGAGTGTATGAGTTTGAGTGAATGGCTGTCCCTGTTTTGGGGTTCAGGGAGATTAAATGGCTTGGAATCTCTTGGAATGTGCAATCTGTCCCCCCCCTCTGTTGGGGATATTTTAAGCAATGGGATGTGAGTAAGCAATTGAGTGTGTATGAGAGAGATATTGCCTTGCCAGAAAGTATTGTCCTAGTGGAAAGAAATGAATTGAACAGAGTCCCTTTGTGCTGTAACATATAAGACATCCAAACTTTTCTGGTATTGACCATTAAACCCTTAGATGGGATTCTGTCCTTCCTCCCCCAGGTCTTCCTTCAGAGTTTTGTAAAAACATACGGACAATCCACCATCCATCTGTAAAAGGCAATTGAGGGATAACTGAAATCAATTTTCATCCTTTTTTCCTTGCCCAAATCATATTCTGCCATAAAAAGGACTCTTACAATTGAAAACGTGATTTTGTGGAATTGTGAAATTCAGCAATAGAAAGTTGGGGGCCCTACAAATTTTTTTCCTTCCAGAATGAAGTTTCTCTGAAGAACTGAGAACTGATTGATCCATTGTGGATCAAGATCTTTTTTTTTCTTTCCTTCCAAGCTGAGCGTAGGAAAGAATCAAACAGCCTTTTCCCTTTAACTATTTCTTCTGCGTTCCTGGGTGAGAAAAGGTCTGCACATTTTTTTCCAATTTTGTGTGTTATTTCATGGCTTACTTTTTAATTTACAAAGTACAAATGCTCTTTGCAACAATACCTTAAATTCCATCTTTTTTTTTTAAGGATGTGGGAATTGAATTTTTTTTCTTGAAGAAAAAATAGTGCTAAGCCTGAAACTTTTTTTCCTGAGGCAAAAAAAAAAAAAAACTAATTTCCCCTTCTCCTTTGAAAAAAACCCATATTTTTTTCTAAAACAGTATTTTGCCAAATGTGCTAATTTTTTTAGTAGCTTATTTCTCTCCCACACAGAAACCTGTGATGTGTGCTAAACTTGTTATTTTGCTGCTTTAAATCTTGATACCAACATCCACAATTTGATGTCTGTGAGGGCATCTGTTTATTTTTATGAATTAAAAAACAGGGAAAGGAGTAACATAAAAGTTGGAAAAGTGAAAGACAAAATACAGAACTGTGAAAATAATGGTGTAAAGATGAAAATGATGAATTCTATCTTTAAACAGAACTAGCATGTAGATTTTGGCTACAACTGTCTGAGGCCTGTAACTTACGCCCTCATTCCCCACAAATATTTCAGGAAGGGAATACGGGGTTGTGTGGTTCCAACTGTCCCAATGTAACTGGACAATGCTTCCTGCCAAGGAGAGAAAAAAATACATCCAATACATCTAGTGAGACAGAAAATAATTTTTTTAAAAAGCGAGGTCAAAACAGAAGAATGGAGAAGTCCATTTCTGAGGGAGAAAGATTAAGATAGAGCAAAGCAGTTAGACTGTACCCTGCAATGTACATCTGTTGAACTGTAACCTGGTCCTTTTAAGAAATATCAAGGGAACAAAAAAGAAAACTAAAAGGGGTAGGGAGGAGAGAAAGGAAAGCCTGAAAGAAAGAAAAAAGAATCAGAAGAAAAATAATAAAAAGCAAGGGTAGGGGAGAGATATTTAGCAAAAGAAGGAAGGAGAGCTAAATAAAAGTTCAATTAATTTTCATATATATATATATATATATATATATATATATATATATATATATATATATATATATATATATATATATATATATATATATATATATATA